ATATCAGGACTAAAAGGCTTAAAGGGACACTGTAGGCACTGTAAGTACTTCATTTCTTTGAAGTGGTTATAGTGTAATATTATTATGTACAGGTATATTAATAACCAAAGTTATTATTTATTTATTTAGTATGATTTACAAACTTTATTTATGGTTGTGTATTTCGTACAGAAATAAGAGATATAAAGTACAATCTCTCAAGGTTGGTGGCCGACGTGAGGACCCCCAATCCTCCATGGATGGAGGGAGTGCCCACCACACAACCACCCAGGACCAAAGTTATTATTTATTTTATTTTTTAAATGCAGGTGAGTACAACAGTGCCTGCCTTGCCATAACAGCATTCCCAGGCTCATTTGACATAAGCAAGCAAAGGTTATGGCGTGTTGTGTGTGTACATTTTTGTGTTATTAAATTCAAGTTTTGAACCTATTGTAACATAACAGAAGTGTAGTAAAATACGAGGTAAAACGTTGCCTGAGCCACCCTGCACTTGCAGGTGACTAATAATATTACTGATTCATATACCTATAGAAAATAACCTTACTTACTAATATACCTGTGCACAATTACCTTACTTATTAATATACCTGTACATAATAATGTTACTTATTCATATACCTGTACATAATAACCTTACTCACTAATATACCTGTACTTAATAATGTTACTTATTCATATACCTGTACATAATAACCTTATTCACTAATATACCTGTACACAATAACCTTACTTATTAATATACCTGTACATAATAATGTTACTTATTCATATACCTGTACATAATAACCCTACTTACTAATATACCGGTACTTAATAATGTTACTTATTCATATACCTGTACATAATAATACTCACTAATATACCGGTACTTACTTATTCATATACCTGTACATAATAACCTTATTCACTAATATACCTGTACACAATAACCTTACTTATTAATATACCTGTACATAATAATGTTACTTATTCATATACCTGTACATAATAACCCTACTTACTAATATACCGGTACTTAATAATGTTACTTATTCATATACCTGTACATAATAACCTTACTCACTAATATACCGGTACTTAATAATGTTACTTATTCATATACCTGTACATAATAACCTTATTCACTAATATACCTGTACACAATAACCTTACTTATTAATATACCTGTACATAATAATGTTACTTATTCATATACCTGTACATAATAACCCTACTTACTAATATACCGGTACTTAATAATGTTACTTATTCATATACCTGTACATAATAACCTCACTCACTAATATACCTGTACATAATAACCTTACTTACTAATATACCGGTACTTAATAATGTTACTTATTCATATACCTGTACATAATAACCCTACTTGCTAATATACCTGTAAATAATAGCCTTGCTAATATACCTGTACATAATAATGTTACTTATTCATTTGCCTTTATATAATAACCTTACCTTATGTAATAATATACCTGTACATAATAAGCTTACTTAATTGTGATGCTTGAAGTAACCCATTAACAAAAAAAAGATAACTACAAAAAAAAAGAAAAAAAAGAAGAGACATACGAAGTTTATATTTATCAAGTAAAATTATAGAGCCAAGATGTTAAATAATAATATGACTTTAATGGGGCACATTAAATCTCTATACAGGGCAGACGATGAAAATAAATTAATCTGAATTACAACAACGTTTTGACACCTTTATTCCACGTAAACTCACAAAATGATTAAAGACACATAAACACAACTGGGAAACATTAAAACACTTTTAAAATTGGGAACTTTCTTTAACCTTTGTTAGTTTTTTTAGAATCTCTACTAATCTTAAATCTATTAAACAGTATGGAACTTGTGAGAAACTCCATTGGGCCCCATAGATGTGCAATTTGATAGTGAATTGGTTAAATAATTTTCATGCTATCATACGTGTCCCAGAGCAAATTATAATAGCTCTTATATATGATAATCACCGCTGTCCTGAAAATGCTTAAGCCACATCCATCCTGCTGGAATTAGTATTATTTTAAGCATTTTTCACTGCAGATACAAACAGAGTCTAAAAGAGAAAACATTTTTTTCCAGTCCACCACAGATTACCATGGGTATTGAATATTGGAGGAGGTACATGGCAGGATTTTGTAATAGAAAAAGCAGGACAAAATATGATTACACTCCAGGTAGTTAAAACGCTTTCCTGTAGGAGGTTTCTGATTGTCCCATTTGGCTATATATGATAAACATATGTGTAAGAAAGTAGAATATTCTATAGATCTGCTTTCCTTATTCTTTATTGCATTATGTCTGGACTTTACCGAGTATAATGTGATTTAGATGTATGAAAATGATTGTGGTCGATAGCTCATTTACATTAAAGTATCACCTTTTTTTTTGTTTGTTTGTGTTTGTTTTTTTGTTTGTGTTTGTTTTTTTGTTTGCATCTTTACCTGATGTGGGGCACAAAGAATTAATTAAACCTCTTGGGAAATAGCATTGTAACGGACCGTTTCGCTCACAAGGGGATAAAAACCGTTTAGGCGATAATCCCCTTCCAGATAGACCAGCAGCTACTGCAATCACCAACCTCCCGAACTCCAAACTGCACGTATTCACCAACTCTCGAACAGCAGACACACGAACCCTGGAAGCAGCCGAACAGGAAAAGCCCTACGAACAGCTTACACTCCTGGCAATCGGCATACAGTCAAATTCCCCCCAAGAATGAGACGACACTTCACTTTGAGGGTTAAACAGGAACAACCCTGCTGGCACACCCAGCCTGGTTTTTATTACAGTGTTGCACATACAGGACCGCCCACAGGGAGGTATAAAATAACCAATCAAATAACAGTTACAACCCACAATGCATCACAATCCCTCCTCCCTGGCCTGGAGATAATTGGAGAAGTAATCCAATATCTCCAAGGACAGAGGCAAACTCCATTACACACATGGCAGACAAAAGACAGTAAAATACAATAAAATACACAAGGTTACATTTATACATAAAATACAGACATTCTACCTATCCCCAGATAGCTTAGATCTGAGTGTACGTTATTACCGGATGGTAATGCTCAGATCACATACATACAATTCAATCGCCATGGAGCCAAAGTCTTTCATACAGTCTTTCCAGGGAAAAAGAACAGGGGCCATAGTCTAAAGGTAAGAGGCGGGCAAGCAGCCCCCTCCAAGGACACGTGGCAAGGTCGGTTTCATCACAAACATGGTGAACAAGACATACATACAAAACAAACATATGAAAAAACTGAATAAATTTGTGGTCTTCATTTTATTTGGCGACACGGTAAAAGGAACCTCAATGTCAGACTTTTGCACATTTTGCCACTGCTGATGATCTAAAAAAAAAAAAAAAAAAGGTATAAATATTAACCTAAACCAATTTCCAACAGTCACAGAAAATATTCTTCTTGAATCCCAACTAATAATCAGATTCCTCCATGGATCAACAAGCTAGTATTAATAAAAGTTCAAATTAACTATTGTAGCATTCTATATATCCCATGTTTCTAAAACCAGCATCAAAAATGTATTGCAGTGTTCTGTTTTTATTTGATTAAACAACTTCTTTATGCATATTGTGAAGAAGCCATTTGACTTTTGAAAGTAAACAATCTTTTCCTGAAATCTCTGACTAACTAAATCATTTATTCCCCTTATTTATTTTGTAGCACTCCTCTGCACGTTTTCCAAATTCTTACTGTCCTTCTTTGAAACTGATGTCCAACATCTAAGTGTATATTCAAGGTGAGAACGTGCCAAATACATATTAATTTATAAAATTATGTTTTCATTGTGTGTTTTATTACAAATGATTTAACATCAGGTTACAGCTGCTGACTAACATTGCACATTGTTGCCAATCCCGTTGTTGATATTTACAAGTAGCTCTCATTTAACAAGTTCTTAACTCAAGCAGCTTTAAATTCTAAATTTATCTGAAATGCATTACTTTTCATTGGGAGCAAATGTTCTCTGCTCTGCATTACATTAACTAGTTTTGTGTCATACTGCAGTTGGACCCTTCACTGCTCGAGGTGTTTACCTCTAATACATTTTGGAATCAAATCTTTATAAATAAGAAAAATAAATGCAAAGTATAAAAAAGATTTTGTTGTCCTGAAATGTCTCAGCCATTCCCTTGTTCCCAACGGGACATAAATACATATTCAAAAACATTCCTTCTTAGCAAGGGGCTAGTGCGTTTGTAGTTCAGCACACATGAAAGTTTAATTAATGAAAAGGCATGGATTAAACTACCTCGAGCTAATTAAAGCCAGAATGTGGAGAATAGCCAATAGTAGATGCTATTTTAGTTTTTTTGTGTGTATATATATTATCTATCTATATATATATATATATATATATACACAACTTTTTTGGAACTCAGTCTTTAATATATTATATAAAAAAGTGAAGACAATGCAATACAAGCTGAAATCTTTGCAGATGTATTACAGCAATAGAGTTGTCCCGAGGGATCTTTGTTTAAGACATCTGCATTCTCAAACAAAGCAGCACTACTTAGCAATGATACAATGTATGCACAGAATTTGCCTCATCTCTACACGTCGTGAGAAAATAGAAGGTCTAACTATGAAGTGACATTTAAACTATTATTGCAAAACTGGGTCACAATTAGTAAAATTAGAAACATATTAAAGCTAGGATGTTGAAAATAGGTCACAATAAGTCAAATTAGAAATATTATAGCTAGTATAATTAAACGAGGTCACAACTCTAAAATGTAGTAAAATGGTAATAAAGTTGTGACCGGATGGATAGGATGTCCCTATAACCTAAAGTCACAGTGACCAAAGGTTTGTACGATAAAATGTAAATCGACCAATTCTCATAGAAACATTAAATCTGCTATAAGAAAGTGGATTTTGTATGAAAAAAAGCCCCCTTGAGGTCACAGACTTGGTTTGCAAGCAAAGACAATAGAACCATGTGAATTTAAGTGAATGTTAATATGGCTAAAATGGTGTGCTCTTCGTAATGTCTGTTTGGTTCATTTGATGTTTCATTTGGAATCTTGTTGACCTGCAAACACGCAATGGGGCTGGGTTTTGTTACAAGAGACAAACGTAATGTTTGTAACTGAATACCAGTTATCACATTGACATCTATAGAAAAATTGCCATTTAATTACCAGAGCTGTGCCCCAGATGTGAAGCGCCATCTTCTTGATACCGTAAGCTCATGGTAAAATGTAAACCAAATGATGGCAAAGGAAATATTTACAACTTGGCAAACATGGCCTAAACTTTACAATTTGAATGGCAGTTCACTATTAGTGATTACATCTGTTTTTGTTAAGTAATATACTTTAAAGGGACACTCCAGACCCCTAATACACTTCAGCTTTCTGAAGTGCTTTGTGTGTAAATAGTGTTTGACGTTTTTCTTATTTATTTTACAGAAATTGACAATTTTATAAATGAGCCTTGTTACATCCCCTTTGCTATCAGTCAGATTACCAGTCCTATTGCTTCCTGGTTTGGTTAGCTCAGCGGAGTTAAACTCAAGAAAACTGATTTCTCCGCCCTTGTTCCTTTCTCTCTACACTGCACTTGGACCATGCTTTTCCTAGTCTTCAGACCTTTTCCCCAGCTACTGAACAAGAGGTGGCTGCACTTCTCCTTTCATTATTATCATCATTATTATTTTATTATTTATATAGCGCCAGCAAATTCCGTAGCACCAGCAAATTCTGTAGCAAATTCATCTTGCTCACCACTTTTCCGCTTGATCCTGTCCCATCTCACATTATCAGATCTCTCTCCCCTTGTCCTGTGTGTTCCTTAAATCATATATTTAACTGCTCTCTGTCTTTTGGAGTCGTTGCTGCTCTCCTTAAATATGCTACCATAGTATCTGTCTTAAAAAGCCATCTCTTGACCTGTCTACCCCTTCTAACTATAGTACCATATCCCTTTTTCCTCAACGCGTCTGGAAAGACTGGTCTTTAACTGTTTGGCTTGCTTCCTCAATTCAAACTCTCTCCTCGGCCCTCTTTAGTCTGGCTTCCGCCCCCTCTATTCTACTCAAATTATCTAATCACAGCTAAATCCAAAAGCCTCAACGCCACACTAATTCCTCTATTATTATTATTATTATTATTATTATTATTATTGCGATTTATATAGCGCCAACAGATTCCGTAGCACTTTACAATATTATTAGGGGGGGGAGGGTTTGACTATAAATAGGACAATTACAAGAAAACTTACAGAAACTAAGTGTTGAAGAGGGCCCTGCTCAAACGAGCTTACAGTCTATAGGAGGTGGGGTATAAAACACATTAGGACAGGGAAAAGAAGTCAAATTAGGTGGGAGTGGAGCAGAGCTGGAGGAGAGAGTAGAGTGCTGCCCTTTAGGAGAGAGACCTCTCTGCTGCCTTTGACACTGTTGAACATGTTCTCCTTCTCCAAACTCTTCAATCACTCGGTCTCTGTGACACTGTCATCTCGTGGTTTTCCTCTTATGTCACCCAATGTTCATTGAGTGTTTCCTTTTCCTATGACAACTCCTCCCCTCGTCCTATCTCGGTTGGAGTCCCCCAAGGCTCTGCTCTTGGTCCCTTTCTGTTTTATCTTTATACTGCCTCTCTTGGCAAACATTACTTTAGCTAACAGGTATATCACCAAAATATACAAATAGTGAAAAAATAACAAACGATAATACTTAGCTTTAAATAACGTGTAACCGCCTCCCTAGGTCGTTACCCCCAAAAAACGACCTATATCATATATAGGAAACCACAACAAAAGCAATTCGGGATATGGCTGTGTGAATCTACAGAGAAAACATAAAACAAGACATAGTGTGATATTGTTACAAAATACAATATTCTGTGCGCAGCAATCTGTTGCACTCACTAGATGTAGGCAAGTATAAGCGCTCTTAGGGTGCCTCCCCTGGTATAGTGGGGACCCCAACCGATACTTCTGATCACCTCCGGATTCTTATTCCACCAAGAGACATCCTCAGGTCAGGGTAAAAAATCTTTTTTTAAAATGTATTCAATAAAAGAATATATATTTAAATATATAGTCACCAATTCAGCATAGGGTATGGATTGCAGAAAAAATAGTCCTACGCGTTTCGTTCACTGTGAACTTCCTCAGGGACCGCAGTTAAAATAATGACCATGTATCAATACAAAGTACAAAATAAACATATCCTCTATCCTGTTTATTTTGTACTTGGTATTGATACATGGTCATTGGCCTGAATAACCTTTTGTGCACTTCTTGAAGAGCGTGCCGCTGGCTTTCACCCATGCTGCCGTTAATTGTAATACAAAATGCCAGACAATTGAGCCCTGAAAGTAGGGGAGATTATATGCACCCTGTTCACTGATGAGATAATGTATGAGACCCAAGTCTTTTTTTTTATTTTATTTTTTTTACAGTGTTTAAGGCATTAGAAAGGCTTGTGTTAAGGCCGGAATGCCACCTTAAAGGACCACTCTAGGCACCCAGACCACTTCAGCTTAATGAAGTGGTCTGGGTGCCTGGTCCAGCTAGGGTTAACCCATTTTTTAATAAACATAGCAGTTTCAGAGAAACTGCTATGTTTATGAATGGGTTAAGCCTTCCCCCTAATCCTCTAGTGGCTGTCTCATTGACAGCCACTAGAAGCGCTTGCGTGCTTCTCACTGTGATTTTCACAGTGAGAGCACGCAAGCGTCCATAGGAAAGCATTGTAAATGCTTTCCTATGCGACAGGCTGAATGCGCGCGCAGCTCTTGCCGCGCGTGCGCATTCAGCCGGCGGGGCGGATCGGAGGCGGAGAGGAGGAGGAGAGCTCTCCGCCCAGCGCTGGAAAAAGGTAAGTTTTTACCCCTTTCCCCCTTCCAGAGCCGGGCGGGAGGGGTCCCTGAGGGTGGGGGCACCCTCAGGGCACTATAGTGCCAGGAAAACGAGTATGTTTTCCTGGCACTATAGTGGTCCTTTAATGTTACAGTGCAAACATACTTCCTTACTGAGAAACCTTGAATGCCTCGTGTTTTGTATACATCGCTGAACAGAGCATTTTGTATAGTTTTACTTAGTACATATAAGTTTGAAAAGAAGAACTTATTTGTACCATTAAATAGAACCCTTCCAATAGTTTCTAAAAACCTCCATAGTTCCTCTGCATCTGTTTAGTTAGGCCCAGTCATAACATGAACATCAAAACTCAATACATTAAGTCGGGGTCACAGTAAGCCATTTTTATTATTATTATTATTATTTATAATAGCACACATATTCAAAAAGTGTTTACATATTCAAATGTAAACTGCAGGAAATTACACCTTTGCAGGTAGGTCCCATTTACAAAGAAATAGGTCCATGATCTTTAGGAAAATCTCAAACAAATCACAACATAACCCATCATTCTCTTCAGATCTCTGGACATTGAAAGTTGTACTTAATTCCTTTGGTTAACAATATCTATTGTATTAGAAAGAGTTAGAACACTGGGATGCATTCCTATAGAATGGACATTTATTAAAAGTTACACTGAGGTTGATAAGGTCCATCCACTGCCAGGTACTCACACAATGGACTCCAGTGGTAGCAGATCTGATGCCAAAATGGGTAACTCCTATCCACGCGCTCCATATTGATCAATCTATGTATAGCCCACATTAAATTGTCTTCTTCTCAAAGAATAATTGATACATTGTAGAGTTGCAGATGAAGTCTAGTTTTAAACTGCTTAGGACACTATTTCTGTTTGTAGAGTGCAGTTTTTTTTCTTTTAACTCGAAAAGATGAATCCCAGTCCAGGCGAACACATTTCTGGCAAACTTGTGACCTGCAAAGAAAAACGTCCAGTTTACGGATGGATTCCTATATAGAGGCAGTTATGATCATTTTCCTGCTACTCACATAAGGCAAAGCAATGGCTGTTCGAGAGGCAGTGTTTCTCCATTGAACACAGCAGGATAGTTTTCTTTTTTGACACTAACAGGAGGTTTCCTCCCAATGGCTGATAAACCACACATTGGCTCTGCTAAAAAGTACAGGGCGGATAAAGGAGTCTGAGTCAGCACCTCCCTTCCCTTTCCTGATTCTTCATAACATTTTGGCTCCAACCCCAGAAATGTTGATGGGAATGCAGCCACAGTAGTAGAAGTGGAGATTAACTCCGCCAGAACCAACTTCAGAAATATTACAGGAAAGACCTTGCATGTTATGATACAATTCTTATTTGTATAAATACTAAATTCAGGACCAGAACACAATCCACATTCCAACTTTGAGAGGTCTTTACTTCAGTCTTCTCTATGATACAAAGACCTGACTTCTGAAGATGCTCACACAATGCAAGCTCCCTCTTCCAGACATTGTTGTGGCTTCTTGATTGGGTAAGTCTCTCTTCTTTCATAACTGGTACAAGTTCTCTATTTTTATGATTGGAACATCGAAGGTATTATATGGTGCTTTCAGCCCATGTACTCAAAGATGTAAGTAAATGTCCAAAGATGTGAGCACTGCCTTGAGATACATATCTAAATAAAGGTTCCATTGTTCATCGATCTGCCCTTTATGAACTCTACTCCTCTAAAGGATAAAACATTCTTTCTTCTAGAACGAAACAGTTACTAGCCACTGTAACTTTGTTACTGTGAGAGTGTAAATATTAGATGTAGATTTCTTTCATTCTCTGTATAAAAATTTAGTTAGAACATTGGATTGGATACAAGTTATCAAGCTTGATAACTTAACAGTAGGCGGATCAGGCTGAAGGGGGGAGTCTGCCTCGATGTTGGACTAGAGGTAAGTTTAATTGCAATTTTAAAGTATTTATAAGAGACTCCATGAACTTGACTTTATTTGTAACCTAGATTACTATGTAAATTTGAAGAAGCTATATTGTGAAACAAACAAGGACATCGACAAGACAGACAGAACACAGAATATTTTGTTGTGGTGCCTATCGCTTCGAATAGCTGCCTTTATCACATGAACAGAAGAATTGGACTTTGTTTTCCACTTTGACGCCCCGATTTGTGCTTGGCTCTTGACAGTAGGAGTTTGTCAAGGCACACTTAGAAAATAAGATGTGTAAATTAATTTGTGACACTAGGCAGTTTAGAAACTATCCACATTCACAAAAAGCTACATCTGTATTTTAAATAAAAGGTCCACATGCAACACAGTTATCATCCACAATAACCTGGGTGTTGTTTAAATGGCAGTTGTAAAAATACAGTAAGCATTAACACGTTATCAGACCTCCTCATCACCACTGCAAGAACATCAAGTATCCATTTAGTTTTCTCAGAGCATGCACGACAACTGTCCGCATGTCACATTGTACTGTTGGTATTGAGTATGTTGAAGAAAACAAAAAACATGCATTTAATTTTTTGGCGGTTTATTACAAACGTGACACTGTCATAAACAAGTGGAGATAGAACAGAGTAATATAACAGCAATATATTTTTCACACTCATTAGCAGTTTTATTTATTTATGTTGCGGTTTCTAAAATGACTAATTACGATTAATCTATTTAGCCAGGAATAGCACTTAAAAGAATACACAGCAAAATAAGAGAAAAACGGTACACTATGGAGTGTGCTTCAATTTTAGGAATCATATTAAATGAGCACAACGTTAGCTTAATGAAGCAGTTTTGGTGTATAGAACATGCCCCTGCAGCCTCACTGCTCAATCCTCTGCCATTTAGGAGTTAAATCACTTTGTTTATGAACCCTAGTCCCACCTCCCTGCATGTGACTTGCACAGCCTTCCATAAACACTTCCCACACTGAGAGATCTTATGTTTAAACTTCATTTATTGCATATTCTGTTTAATTTAGAATTTGGCAGCTCCTGCTCTGTTAATAGCCTTCTAGACCCTGCAAGAGCCTCCTGAGTGTCATTAAAGTTCACTTTACAGAGCCAGAGATAAAAACTACAAAAGCAAGTTAGCATCTGATTGAAAATTAAATCACTTTTTCATGCAGGCTGTGTTAGTGACAGCCAGGGAAGTATGGCTGCATAAACAGAGCCAGGCATATAAAATACGTGTTCTGAGCTGGTTTCTTGAGCAACTTGCTCATTGTCTTGGGACAGATAACTGGTAATTCTGACCAAAAAGGGTCTTTGCAAAGACAGCTGCCCCCATGGAATATTGGTAAGCTGGAAAATGCGCTATAAATTCAGCGTTACAAAATAGTAAATAATAATAATAGTAACATATTAACCCCTTAAGGATGGCAGGCATACTATGCCGTCCTTGGGGACCCAGCCTTAAACACCGGAGGGTGGCAGAGTATGTCCCCGCCGTCCTATGCACTTACTTGCTCGCCAGTGGTCCCCCTGCCGGCGATCGCGATGGGAAAAATTACACATATATATATATTTAAATTCTACATATATATTTATGTAATATTTTTACATTATTAACCTGGCAGAAAGTTCACTGAATTTGGTTCGCAGGCCCTGTATTTAACCCTGTAACTTTCCATGACACCATAAAACCTATAGATGGGGGGGTACTGTTTTACTCAGGAGACTTCGCTGAACACAACTATTAGTGTTTTAAAACAGTAAAATGTATCACAATGATATCGTCAGTGAAAGTGCCATTTTTTGCATTTTTCACACACAAACTGCACTTACACTGATGATATAATTGTTGTGATACGTTTTACGGTTTTGAAACACTAATGTTTCTATTCAACCAAGTCTCTCAAGTATAACAGCGCCCCCATGTACAGGTTTTATGGTGTTTTCTAAAGTTACAGAGTCAAATATAAGGCTAGCATTTCAGCAAATTTGCCAGATTGGTTATGTTGCTTTTGAGACCGTATGGTAGCCCAGGAATGACAATTACCCCCATTACACCATATTGAAATAGTCCAGTCTATTTTTGTAGCCACTTAGTCACAAACACTGGCCAAAATTAGCATTAAAATTAGTTTTTTACAATTTTCACACACAAACATGAACGCTAACTTTGGCCAGTGTTTGTGACTAAGTGGCTACTAAAAAAGACTGGACATACCCCATTTGTAATACCTTGGGTTGTCTACTTTTGCGAATGGTATGCAGAATTTGATGGCACTATATAAATAACATAATAATAATAATAATAATAATAATTGTGGGAGGTCTGACTTCATGAGTAGTGATTCCAAGTCGACCCATGTTCTTCTGGGGGGTATGCCACATTGCTATTTGTGTCATTTGGGCTGCTATATAATAAAAGTGCAAGTGGGGTAGACCGAGGCCTCCTCTCGCCTTAGGACGGTAGAGTATATTGCGGGCCACTCTATGTCTTTTGTCCTGCCATACGAAATGGTCAGTTGTTCGCTGTAATGGCATTAGGTCATGCTTCGTTATGGCGATGGGCAGGCTAAACACTGAACCCTCCAATAGCAAAAGTAGCCAAGAGAGTATCAGTGAGGAAGAAGATACTTAGTAAATCAGAATATATCACTTGCTGCAAACCTGTATAGCAAGAATGGTAGAGGGGAGCACAGAGTACATCTCTACTCCAGGCTCTCCTGCCGTAAAGAGTCTACTGGATATAAAAGAGATGTCTCTTGTGCTCCAGATATCCTAAACAACACCCCTGTGTAGTTAGGAAGATGATAATGTAATAATTATCAGTGTAAATGAAGTACCTATAGCACAGGAGGTATAAGAAACAGAAAGACCGCTAGGGTTAGTATGGTGTAATCAATTAAATAAGAGGTATGAAATGTAATAGTCCTAGCGCTGGCTTGTAGGTAAAGATCTAAGTGCCTTTGAGGGCACCCCTTATAAAATGCCTATACTGTCTCTATAACCCCCCATTATAAGCTAGAAAACGAGACTAAGAAAAGAAAAAACGGATGCCTGGATAAAAGAGCGATATCGCTGACAAGATCGCGGCTGTGTTAATACAGCAGCAGGAGTATGCCCAACTAAGCATCCAGAGCTTACCTTGTCAGTGATATCGCTCTTTTATCCAGGCATCCGATTTTATATATGTTGCGGCTCCCGGCCCACCGCATGGCGCAGCCGTGCCCGACCGGCACGACCTCGCCGATATTGCAAGCTTACCTGCTCGCCGGCGAGCCGGGAACCACTCCTCTGCGTCTTCTGGGCGTTGCACCCAAAACATTACGACAGGGCCATGGATCCTGCGGAACTATGCAAACATATGATTGCCTGTGAGAGTAGGGTGGAGGATATGGACCAAAGGTTAGATCAATTTGCCCAAGCATTCCAGACCTTGCTCCAGAGAACTGCCTATCTGGGGGCACCTCCGGTACCGCCTGTGGCTCCGCCACCTGTAGTAGCACCTGTGGCACACAAACCACCGTCCACAACTCTTTCACCTCCCCCTCGTTTTGGCGGGAATTTAGAGGTTTTCTAAACCAAATTGAATATCACTTCGAAGCTTCCCCTGGTTCATTCCCTACAGATAGATCGAAAATTGGCTTTTTAATGAACCAATTAATGGGTAAGGCTTTAACCTGGGCTAACCCCTTATGGGAGAGTGGGAATCCAGTTGCTCGTGATTACAATGTATTCCTAACAGCTTTTAAAACTACTTTTGAGCCAAAAGGGAGAGAAAAGAACGCTGCCAGAGCCCTAATGAGAATAAAACAAGGCAACCGCTCTGTAGCTGATTACTCCATAGAGTTCAGAACATTGGCGTCTGAGGTTGACTGGACTAATAGCGGTTTAGTGGCTGCTTTTTCCGAAGGTTTAGTGGAAAATATACAAGACGAGACTGCAGCCAGAGATCTTCCAGTTAACCTTAATGACTTTATTGCATACATGATAGACATTGATAACAGGCTCAGAGAAAGAGAGAAAAACAAACAGCGTACTAGATGTTCTAACTTATCCATAGCCCCTCATTTCTCTAACCCAGTGGTAATTAACCATGCTCCACCTCCAGAACCTGAACCCATGCAACTAGGCATTGCAAAACTCACTGAG